GAATTAAGATAAAATCCCAGCCATTCATGAAAGTGTCTGTTTGTTGTAGCAGAAGTCATTTGGAAATTGCAGTGGGTTGCAAAACTTTTGCCTATATATTTACCTCTTATAATATCTTGATATACGTTTTTATAATTAAAGTTCATTTTGTTTTTACCAACAAAATTAATCACTAAATCGGTTTTGATGGTAACATTTGTGTGTGTATGTAAGAGATGTTTGTGGACATTATGTATTTTTAATGAGCTATATTTCCATAAATCTCAGGGCCAAAATTCAATTTCTGTGAGTAACAACCCTAAGGCAAGATCAGGGCAGACAGGCAGCAGAATGTCTGGGTGAGGATCGGGTGTATTGACGGGGGAAAACTTTAAACAGGCCACATTTACTTGTGAGAAGATAACTCAGTGCCACCTGCTTTCTCCGTGGCCCTGTCTGTCAGTTCAAACAGGACCCTGCCTGACAGGAAAGGGGGAGTGGGTCAGGAAAAGAAGACACATGGGGACAGGCTTCTGAGGGGTCTGGTGAAAAGGCCGAAGATGTGAAATTGGACGAAGGATAAGAGGGCACAGGAGAGAAAATCAGCTTATGGATAGAGAAAAGGTGGCCAGCGCCTTGAAAGAAACAGAGACAGAGAAGAAGTCAGAAGCCGTCATGAAGGAAATGAAGTAATGGACAGAGTGCAGGGGGACCCGAGGGAGAGAGAAGGCTGGGCAGAGGGTCGAGGGAAAAGGCTGGTGGAAGAGCACCCCCACAAAGTACGAGTCGCTGGGCAGTTCTGGTCTGCATCATAAAGCACAATATGAAATATTCACTCCTTCTGCCCCTCGACACGGGGTTTATTTTGGGGGCGAAGCCACCGAGGAGGCCTGCCTCTGTGAAAGTCAGCACTCAGCAAAACACTGGGAGGCTGGCAGAGAACGGACCGGGCGAGAGACGGAGGAATGCGACAGAGACAAGAGTTAAGAGGGGTTACGGGTGAGATTAAAACAAAAGGTGTGGGAGAGATAAATACAGAGAACAAGAGGGTGTTTGCATAGCGATGGGAGATGGTCCTGAGTGAGTTGAGCTCTGCTGGGCTGCTGGACAGGGCCAGCGCTGTACAGGACGTGGTGTCCGGCCTAACCGAGGCAACGAGCGATGGCAGGCAGCCACTGCAAAGATCACATGGCCTGCAGTGAAGCAGGCATCGACCACACGGGGCATGTGATCGTCAAGGCTGACAGACGCAGAGTTAAACCACACTTGCACAAAACAAGCTCGGACAACGTTACATCTGACAGGAAGCAGCAGGAAGAACATCCTGTTCCGACATATCTGCTGTCAAAGTTACTTGCTGCATGTTTGGGGACGGATGAGCTGCTCGTGGGCCCCAATCCTAATAAATCCCACTGATCTGGATGTGGGATCACGTATAGTAATGTTAATATTGACGTTAGTGGCGTGTCATCTACCGCTGTAATCAGATTGCGACGTTTCTAACATACCGTAAATCGTGTTACGTAACAAAATAAAAAGCAATAATGGAGGACGCTCTCTTATAGCAAGATCCACTCTTCACATATCGCTCAACCCTTATTCAAAACCGCAGAGATGACACCCGTAATAGCCTGCAAGCCTCTGGCCACGACTCTGGCAGAACAAGATCAAACCACACTTCAATCTCCACAGTTTTAAAGTGAGCGAATACAGATGCATTTTCAACCCTCAGTGAGGCACATTATGCGCCATGGTGCTCACACACACACACACACCGCAGAGCACACTCGCGCTTAAGTTGCATGGCCAAAACCTCAGAACAGGCACTAAATGATCACTTCCTTATTCTGATCCGAGGATGTAAAGGGCCGCTCTGTTCAGACAGTCAGATGACGAGGAGAGCCTAATCGGTATTCTGATGCGGGCGGGCTTCAGCCACCTCACTCCATGTTCAGCCAGAGGGGAAGAGATAGGCCATTAGGTCAGTTATCTTTGGCATACACAGGAAGCTCTGCAGGGCAAGAGGGCCTGTGGAAGCCTGGATATGACTGTGTGTATATATGT